GCCACACTGGCCAAGGCAGAAATTAGTTTTAAAAGGTATTTACCAAAATGCATTTGATCCATATGTACTCAGGAAGGAAAATCTTGAAACTCTGTATATTTGGTGAAGAATAATTCCCCCAAGTTATAAATAATAAAAACATTATTAAGAATTTTAGATTCAGAGAAAAAGGGATCAATCATAGTAATCAAACTTGATACTTCCAGCCATTAAATAACCTCTTTCAGGGATTAGAATAAACTTTTTCTCAGTGTAGAGAATACCTTAGTCAGATGAACAGGAGACGTTTAGCTAACCCTGAAGTCCAGTAAAATCACAGCTTAAATTGCCTATAAGTGCAACTGGGCCACACTGTCTCTGTGTAGACCACATAACTCACAATGATAGCTGAAGTGTGACAAAGAGATCAAACTGTAGAACTGAAGGGTTAGGGAGTGAAGATGTGGCAAAGTTTATTTAAAAAGAGCTGCAAGAACTCATGACATGAAACCACTCTTTCCAGCTTTAATGTAAGGTACATTGGGCTGACTTATAGACCTCTGAACCAGTCACAACGAGCTGGCCAATTTGTTCACTTAGCAACTTGTTTGAGCACCTTTCAGGGTAAGGTGGTTTGTGAGGCCTGTGGATTGACACTAACTGGCTGTCCCCTCTGAGTTGTGTTGCCCTCAGTCTCTGGATTCTCCCAACCATTCAGAGGTAAATGTTACTAATGACACTGGCTGGGTGCACAGAAACACCATTTAAAATAAAAAATCAAAACAAAAAAACAAAAACAAGCTCACTCAAGAAATAGAGCAAGTTCCTTAGAGAATCTGTAAGACAAAAATAATAATTTCTTCGTGTGCTTGACAAGGTACCAAGATTTTTCTACATGCACTTCATAAAATAATAAGCTGAGGGTTAACTATAACATTAGAAACATGTTACTTCGTGCTTTTCTCAAAATTCACAACAGAATAACAAAAGGTAGAGGAGGAAGAGACAAACAAGTGTCTTCTCTCATATCCAGAAAGATTACAGGAGACTTTTTTCTCAGTTGCTGGGTCAGAACTTCCATGTTTTCCTTTAAAAGGTTATTCCTTTGCAGCAGCTTTCATTGCCAGGACATTTTTCTTAATTTTCACCTTAACCTTATGATCTTGTGCACCTTTAAATGTCAAAGAGAAAGGCTGTGGGGGATGCTTTGTTTGAGAACAGAGTGTACCACACAAGACCCATCTCTTCTGAGTCTTCACTCTGAATACAGAAGCATTCCTGATTTTAATCTTTGGATTTAAACACCAGCTTCCTGTCTGTGCCATTTCTCCTCTCCCTCAAGATATGCAGAGCTTCAGACATCATTAAAGAAAGCTTAGGGCCTGGAATATGTAATCCTTTGCTATCTGGCACTCTGTATTTGGTAGGGTTTAAGTGGTGTTAAATGAAACATATGTTTACATGATGAGAATGAAGGATTCTGGGAAATGATCCTGTTTGAAAATACATCAGAAATCAACTTCTCTATCCCATAGTTTGGATGCCATGAACAGAGCTTATCAAGCAGCAGAGAGAAGTGTGTCGGAATTGAGAGATTCTCTAATCCCCTAAACATTATGGAAAGGCCATATCCCAACTTTGAATGATATACAGAAGCACGGCCAATCCTGAACGCAAGAGAGCCACTGGAGACATTGTATCCTACAGACATGACGGAATTGAGAGCCAGTCCTACATGGGAACTGTGCACAAGTATTCTGGGAGATGAGGTGGGTGGGTTTTTCTTCCCAGAACTAGAAAAAAAATTGGGATGAGAAGAATTTGATAAAAGATATGAACACATAAATGATGAGGCAGAATATAGCCATGACTACACTGCTCCTTTCCCCCAGCTTCCTAATTTGTAAAACCAAGTAAATATAAAGGCACTTTCCAGAAACTCCTCAGGCCAGCAAGATAGGAATGGACATGGGCACTTCAAACCAAATGTTACTTTTTTCAGGGTTCCAAATCTCCAATAATCAACAACAACTTTCTGGTCATTTACAGTTTGCCCCCAGAACTGCTCATATTTTCTTTGAAAGACTAGAGACATTGGTGGAAGATGGCACATGATGATGTCTGGGAGGTGGAGGATGTTGGAGATTACAATAGGAATGAAGGGAGCGGGTGCAGGGTTGTGGTGAGGAAGCAGGGTTACTCACACTGGGGGGAGAGGGGCTAGCAAAAAGTGAGCCTCCTCTTTGGGAACTCAGGACCCCATCTTGTATCACCAGGTATGTAGATGAGCAGGGCATTTCATACTGGAAGCTATTCCCAGGCCTCAACATTCTCTCTCAATCTAAGTGTTGGCTACCTATTTCCTTCACTAGAAAAGCTGAAAACCAAGACTGTGGCCATAGCTGACGGTAGCTCTTGCTATGAGGGAAGATGCAGTATTCTCACAGAAGCAGGTCATTTCCATTCCTATAGGAAGGACAACTATTCTCACTTCACAGATACAGAGAATAACCCAAAGTATACAATTAGATATTCAGAACATTTTCAAACCTAGCCTCCTGACAGAATAGGAGTGTTATTTCAAATTCCATGTCTCCATGTCCAGAAATCCAACAAGTTTGCAACAGAGTGGTATCTGTTCTCTCTCTCTCTCTCTCTCTCTCTCTCTCTCTCTCTCTCACACACACACACACACACACACACACACACACACACACACACAAACACACACACCATACTTTACAACTGTGTGTCTTCACCCATTCATTCATTTGGTGCCAGGCATTGGGTACAGAAATATAAATAAGACATTTCTCAAGGAGCTCACAGTCTAGTTGGAGAGACAAACACATAAGCAGATAACTGCAATAATTAAAGCATGATTAGTCCTAAGCAAAGAGATCGCATTCCATAAATCCTATTAAACAATGATCTCCAGTAGCCCCTGGTATCAAATGAAAGACAGGAAGAAGACTGCAGGGCACCTCTGCATGGGTTTTAGATTGTGAACATATTATAGATTCTGAGAAGTAGCAGTATGCTCTCAGAACTAGTACTGTAATTACAGTACCATGACATATTCTTTAATCTCTATAGCAGCGGTTGCCAACCTCGTGGACCACTGGTTGGCGACTGCTGCTCTATAACATCTAGGACTACCCTGGGCACAAAGTAGCTGCTAAACACCTGATGTTCTTGGTGAATGGAACAAGTACATGAGACTTTTGGTAACTTGTTCCTCTACAAAGGTTTGTAGATTGGCAGATCTGGAGTGTTCTGTAAAGTACAACACTGCCCTACCTCATCACATTACTGATCCACTGCATAAGCCATCTGCTCTATCTGGCACTTTAAGGGTTGGGGGTAGGGAATCCTTCACTGGAGGGCCAGAAAAGAAGACAGTATAATGTGGGTAAATGGCTTGGTAGTTCATTGTAATAAACAAAAAGATGAATTTGACACTTACGTCCCCTGGCTCATGTTTAGGATAGAAATAGAGCTCAGATTCCTTATACTTGTCACACAATTTTAGCTTTCAGAAATGGACCTGCCAATACAATGACATAAAATAAAATCCCACCCTCACTTGCTTAAAAGCCTTCAATGGCTTCCCATTGTACTTAAAATAAAATCCACCTCCTCTGTGTGGTTGGTAAGGCCCTCATTCAGGTCTTGTTCACCTTACCAATCTTAACTGGCCCTGCTCTCCTCTCACTTACCAGACCCAGCCACAATAGCTTCCTTGAGGTTTTCAATATGCCAGGCCCTTTCCTGTTCTAGGCCCTTACACTTGCTTTTCCTTCTCCCGGGGCCCTCTTCCTACTCTTGAATGGCTAACTCCATCTCATCCTTCAGATCTCAGCTCAAATATTTCCTATTCAGAGAGGCCTTTCTTGACCATCTTATCCAAAACGACCCCATCTCATTCCTTTTACTTATTAACATACTAACCAGTTAATTTACTTCATAGCACTTCCCGTACTCTGAAATTATCTTATTTATTTACTTGTCTCCTTGTTAATTAGTATTCTTCTAAATAAAAAACTCCTGAGACCAGGAGCTAGATTTATCTTGCTGTATCAGCAGGCATACACTAGGTACTCAAATATTTGAGTGAATTAATGAATGAGAATTAGGAAAATACAGTGGCAGTAGGTGAGCAGGCATTGAGTTAACGTGAAAAACATCAGTTTTCCTACTGTGAAGCTAGGAATTGTTGTCCGACATTTTTTTTAACTTTATTAGGGTATATTCAAGTAGCAATAATATACAAAGAAAAACGAAAGAAGGAGAGTCTAAGCCCACTGTTGATGACTTAAAAAAGAAATGTCAAAAAGAGCAAAATCTAAAAAAAAAAAAAAAGAGCAAAATCTTGCTGATTCCAGCTTCCACCCAGTTTGTAATGAATATTATTAATGTTAGAAGCAAATTTTATTATTTTTCTAACAGATTCCAAGGTTGGTTTCATTTCTCCCTGAGTAATGCAGTTCTGCACCCAGCTCTGCAACAACCCATCTAAGTCTCATTCAAGCACATTCACACCCATGCCAGCCTAGGGTACCTGAGGATCTCACTCGAAAACAAACAAACAAAAAACTGTTGTTGTTTCAAAACACCAGGCAGAAAAGAGTTTTCTCTTTCCCAAAAAAACCTGAACACAAGGCAAATCATATGCACGAAGTAGGTTCTTCCTCACAATACTTCAGCTCAAGATCTGCTCCTCCAATAAAGGGAAGTGTAACAGGGCGTGTAAGTGTAACCCTTTTAAAGGTGCAATTCAAAAGCTAATGCTGACACCATCAAACCTACTGCTGTTTGTTTCAATGAACTCAATCAATTAGAGCAGTTATCCTCGCTCTTAGTGATGAAGAGTCCTGAACTTGGAAAAACACAAGCAAGAAGAGTGAAAGATGAAACCTGTTGCCCTTGTTTCCTGTTGGCTGCCTTCTGTGGCATACTGGGTACACACAATTATGTCCTAAAAGCAACTCAATCAAATGCTGAGAGAGAGTGGTACTTACGAGGCATGATCCCCTGGCTCACCAGCTCTTCCCGTGTCCGCCGCTGCTGGAGCTTCAACTGCAGCACTGCATGGCAGCAAAGAGAGAGAAGAGATGAAGTCTCAGTAGGGAATTCCACCACAAAAGACACATTTTCAAATGCAAAGAAAGTCTCAAAACAGAAGGGTGTAGTGTATAAGAAGGATCCTCTTGAATTGTGACTGTAATTGCAGAAGTGGCCTGATACAGCAGGGTTTCCGTATTCTGCTGTGGGCGGCGAGAGGAAGTTGCAAAGGGTCTTGCAGGGCGATAACAATCCACAAAGTACCAAACTCTTGCTCTTGCTCAAAACCTTCTACAACACTGTCCTCTCAAGGTTGAAAAAACACACAAATGCTTAACTCAAAGAAAATATGAGGACCACTACCCAGCAGAAAAAGCTTCCCAGATATCCTACACTTTCTTCCCGGTAGCAAATGTTTACCACCCTAAATACAGTGAATGATACAGTTATTCACACAGATCAGGAAGTATTGGTAATATCTTTTCATCTGCATCTAAAAATCATACCTATTTTCACCAGAAAATATTTTGCCATTAATATAACTCTTTTCTTCCTATTCACTCTTAGAGCCTTTTCTGTTGAGGTGAAACACCAACCAACTCAGGGGCCCTCAAACTTTTTAAACAGGGGGCCAGTTCACTGTCCCTCAGACCGTTGGAGGGCCGGACTATAGTTTAAAAAAAACTATGAATTCCTATGCACACTGCACATATCTTATTTTGAAGTAAAAAAACAAAATGGGAACAAGTACAATATTTGTATTTGCATGTGGCCCGTGGGCCGTAGTTTGAGGACCCCTGAACTAGATGATTCAAAGCATAGCAGGCTAGGTAGGGGAGGGTGACAGGTGTTTCTCCTATTTACACTCTGGCAACACCACTTAATTGGACAACCTATTGAGATTTTTTTTAACTTAAAACTCAGTGATCTATATTTCAAATGCCAAGGAAACCTAAAGGGTATTATCACTGCACACCATGCAGAATGATGATGCATGCCATGGCCTGCATTCAGAGGCTGAGAAAATGTTCAAAAATTTCACAGAAAGGTCCCATGGGCCAAGGACAGTAACCTTACATGATAATTCTTTAGTTATAAGGTCCCTGCAAGTCACATTTGAGAGGGACTTGTCTCTATTAGGAACCATATTACCCTAATATCTGTCTTTTCCATCCATTTTTAAGGCCTCCAAGATTCATAACTAGGCTTTTAACTAGATCTCAAATCTAGCAGGCCCAAAGTAGATCTTGTCTTTCTCCCAAAACCCTAATCCACTTCCCATTCTTTTTCTCTTTAATGGTATCACTATCCTTCCCGGTACTAATATTAAAATTTCTGAGCCACTTCATCTCCTCCCTGTCCACAACTGTCCTATTTTATAAAGTTTACTGCACTATGTTTTCCCATGTTGCAGTATTAGCTCACTGGCTTGTGTCCTTCCTTGTGCTGTGTGTCTTCTATTCTAAGTCACCCGAATAAAGGTTGTCCAATTTACTCTTCTTCAAGTACCATGCACTTTTCCAACGCTTTATTCACTTCACCTGAAAATATCTACCTTCTTCACCTGACCTTCCCAACTCATTCCCCAGCATTCAGAATTAGCCTAGGCCTACTGTGAGCAACTTTTTATCTGATATAAAAAGTATAGTAATATTTTGCCCTGTGTAATACTTACCCTCTGAATATATTTTCTCTCTCCTGCCAGTTTATACACTCTTGGAGGGCAGGAAATATATCTTATTAATGTATGGCCCCCCCCCATAGCACTTGATACACCGTAGGCATTTAATAATTGTTTCTTGAATTGAACTGAATCTCCAAATGATGATACATACAGTCTAAGAAATCTAATCAGGAGGTTATAACTATAATTATATATTTTCTTTTACAAATTAACACTGTTAAAAGCAAAGCTTTGCGAATAAAATATGTACAAACAGCAACAGCCACTCCAGTAGCTAAATATTTACAGGCTATGTGCTCTGTGCCAGACACTGTTCAATGTACTTTCATGTTTTAACTCGTTTACTCTTCAAAACCCCCTATGGCAGGAGGGGTATTATTAATCCTATTTTACAGATAAGGAAAATGTGGCCCAGAAAAATTAAGTATTTAACCTAAGGTTATCCCACTAATCTGATATAATAAAGATGTAATATGCAAATGTAACGACCGGATCATGGATCAGCAGGAGGGTGGGGCAACGAGCTACAAGTGGGCGGTGGAGAGCTACAGGAGGGGGCAGGGCAGCAAGCTATGGGGGGCGGGGGGTGTCTAGGGGAGCGGGCGGAGAGCTACTGGAGGGTGGCAGCGAGCTACTGTAAGAGGAGCTATTAGAAAAGTATAAAATACAAGAAATTAATTTGATTTCAGAGACTATGAAAATCTAATGTAATTAAGTCTGAACACCTCAAAGAAATGCTAACTATAGCTGTTGGCCAAGAATAATTTTGAAATATCAATCAGCAACCCTTCTTTTTTTTTTTTTAAATATATTTTATTGATTTTTTACAGAGAGGACAGGGATAGAGAGTTAGAAACTCGATGAGAGAGAAACATCGATCAGCTGCCTCCTGCACATCTACTGGGGATATGCCCGCAACCAAGGTACATGCCCTTGACCGGAATCAAACCTGGGACCTTTCAGTCCGCAGGCCGACGCTCTATCCACTGAGCCAAACCGGTTTCGGCAAGCAACCCTTCTTAAAAAAAAACCCAAACATATACAGATAAGGCCACAAGAATATTTTAAGCAAGCTTCTGGATTAAAAAACTTCTTGCTTCATGAAAGCAAAACTTTGAGTCTATGATTCAAGTTTTTTATGGAGAGCAAAGTAAAAATCTTTTTAAGCTTTATATTTTAAGAACTCTAGTGCAAAGAGGAAAGTTTACCGAATAAACCTTTTCCATCTCTAAAACTAAATGAAATTAAAGTTTAGTTATTTGAAAATTCCATCTTGTCTCTCTCAGTGGTTAACTCCAAATTCCATGCTTATCTGAAATCTGACCAAGTTCCCTATTCAAATAACAGAAGTTGCCCTGCATCAGTATTATCTTGGGTATCACAACTTGATTGTAGGTATGTTCTGTTTTTTGTGTTTTTTTAAAAAAATATATTTTACTGATTTTTTACAGAGAGGAAGGGAGAGGAATAGAGAGTTAGAAACATCGATGAGAGAGAAACATCGATCAGCTGCCTCCTGCACACCCTCCTACTGGGGATGTGCCCGCAACCAAGGTACATGCCCTTGACTGGAATCGAACCTGGGACCTTTCAGTCTGCAGGCTCTATCCACTGAGCCAAACAAGTCAGGGCATATGTTCTGTTTTATACATTGCATAACCCTCTCCTACTAACTCTAACAATCTTTATAAGGAGAGTGAAAAGACCTAAGCAATAAACTCAGAATTATGGTAGTCAACCTATACTTTATTTTATAATGTATCTGATTGCCTGTGTGTGTGTGTTGTGTATATATGCAATGATCCTTCTTCTAAGATTTCAACTACAAAGAAATGAATATTTATATGAATACCCTCTTTCTTTAATCTATCTTACTTTCTCTTAATTCTAAACACTAAATAAAATGCTTTTATGTTTCCAGATCTTAAGGATTATTCTTTATAGAAGAAATCATTTAGTAACTCACTTTCAGTAAGTAACATTAGAGGGCAGATGCTCTGTATTCGCTGAAGGTACCCTAATCAGGAGTATATTTCAGAGGCCATACATTTAATGCACATCCACCCTCACCAAGAATTACCTAACACTAGTTCAAATTAATATTCTCACAGACAGTGCTAGACCAAGGAGATTCAAAAAAGTAAGAATTCAATGAAATCTCTCTATTTAACATACATCAACATTTAGTTTTCTTCTCCACTCCCCAAGTCAATAAAAACTAAACAAAAATACCTATTTGTGTACAAGTCTTTCTATGTTCACTGTTATTGAATTCCACAAATTTAATATATCATCTGTTTCTAAGTGGTTCTATGGGAGCAGCCTATATATAGATGAACAGATGTCTTTAAAGCTAGTGGATGGTAAATCAACTGAGTTGCCTGCCAGAAAAGGATTGGAATGAAAAGAAAAGAAACTGGACCATAAAGTGGAAATAATAAAGTTTTCCACCTGTTTCAAACAAAAGCGATCAATTGCTATTTGAATAACTGGCTACTTGAGAAATCAAAGCAAAGGAATGAACATCACATATTTCTGCCCTGTAAGAACATGGAAGTACGTTGATGGTATTCAAGGGGTAATGCCATCAAAACAATTGGGTCAATCAGGACTGGAAAGAAAAAGCAAAAATAAGTGCAGTGTTCTCAAGCCCAGCTCTGTGGCTCCCACTGGGAAGATGGGAGAAGGAACAGTGTGGATTTTATCCTTAAATCTTAGCATGCTGATGTTAGAATGTTCATCTTTGCAGCAGTGAATTATACCTACTTTACTGGTGTATTTTACACCTCAGCTTATCCTACATGCCTGAAAAATCATTTAGTGACACCCAAATTGTAAAACCACATCGCCTATCACTCAGATCCCAAGGCTATTATTCTCTGAACACTCAACTAGTTTCATTCTTAGAATGTATGATTAAAAGTAGGTGAAGGGTGCCCCCAGAAGAGGGTACTAGTATCCCTCATGTTCTACTGCCTGAGTTACTTTATAGCATCACCACCAAAATAGGAACTGGGAATTGGGATGGAGAGAGTTCTCCATTCATTCATCTAACACATATTTACTAGACAACTACTGGTATACCTCGTTTTATTGCACTTGGTCATATTGTACTTCACAAATGTGTGTGTGTGTTTTTTCTCAATCCCTCCCCCTCACCACCCCCCCAACCTCCCCTCCATGACAGCTGTCAGCCTGCTCTTTATGCACATATGAGTGAAATCATATGGTACTGGTTGTGTTTCTTTTTTACAAATTGAAGACAAGACCCTCCACCAGCAAAATAGATTATGACTCACTTTATTGTGATATTCACTTTATTGCAGTGGTCTGGAAGCG